CCATCTTAATGAAATTGTGCACCAGTTTGTTCACATTTTTAAGAGAATAAGCCATGTTACTGAGGAAGACGATCATCACTTCGTCCTTAATATAGCAAAATCATTTAAGGGCCTTAATTTATGTTGACTTTTTAACATGCACTCTTGCAATTAAGTTAGATTAATGAAAGGTAAATTCCAGCCCCTATGTTAAAAAAAAAAAAAAAAAAAAAAATCCTTGTAAAGAAGCTAATTAGTATGTTTGTTTATTCAGACTCTAATGGCTTAATTGCATTTTATCTTGCTATTTACAAATAGGCATCATTAAAGTATAATGAGTGTGTGAGGGAGAGTGCAGTGTTCCTAGCAGCAGCAGATGAGATGGAAGAAAAATAACTAGTTGAAAGTCAGGTTTGGGCAGGAGTGGGGAAGAGGCTTTTTTGTTGTTCTACAAAATCTGATGTTCACCTTTTCAGCACATTTAAATACGATTTGCAGCCGTTCTGCTTATTAGTAATGTGGTATACAAGTAGCAGGTAAAGATTAGAGCTTCCCCTATAGAAAGAGGTGGATGCGTGGCCTTTTGCTGGAAATATATGCACAGTCTGGCTGCATTTCTGATCTGATGATACCTTATTGTTTCCTCAGGTGAATAGAAGCACTACAAACTTGTCCTGCTTGTGACGCTATGAGGGAGGCACCCATGTTAACTGAAAATAATGTTTTCCTCCCTTTAGCTCTGCATTGCAGAGCATCTGCAGTTCAGATCATCAGCAAATTCCCAGCGATGCTGAGAGGAAATCTGGAGCTTTGGGAGTTCTTTGCAAAGTGGTGGAGCTTGGAGTTGGCAGCCTTCTCTCTCCTAATATCCAGCTCTTAGTAAATCTGAAGAAAGAGTGTTTATTAATGCATTTATTTTTAATTGTCTGTGAAAGGGCTTTTCATTTGGCGTCCATTTCGTTAAAGAGGGGACTTTCAACCTCTTTCCTCCAGGCAGAAGTCTGGCTGCATAAAGAAATGTGGATCCTTTTCATTTTGTAAATTAATTTTGACCCTCCTGTTAACTTAATTGGAGAATTACTTATTTCTTTTCTGGCCGCCAAGCATAAACTTCTTTAGGCATCCCATAAGAAGTTATTTGAACCATTTTCCCTGTTTATTCTGAGTTTCCCCTACCCCCTTTCTTGGCATTCAGTGATTGTCATATGCTCTTTGGTGATAGACAAAATATTTTTAAAGCTGGGATATTTCAAGAAGATTTTTATTTTATATATTTTTGTCAGAAAAGTTGCATAATATTGCAGATTTCAATCAGCTGCCTGCCCTCCGTTTTTCTGGAGCTTGCTGTTTTCGGAAGCGTTATGAATAACTGTCTGAATTTAGGATACATGAGAAGAGCAAGTTACAAGTGCATTGTTATTACACAGACCAAAACAGCAGCTACATAAGTATTTTACTTGCGACTGTTCCATTTTCAGCTCACAGAACTGTGGGGCATATTTTTTCATTCATATTAATTGAATTTTAAAGTGACCTTGTACACGTATTGATTTGAATTAAAATTTCCTACATCAAGGACAAGCTGGCATGTATCCTACAGGCGAAATATTAAAAAGCCAAGTGCTGTCTTAACAGGGTATCGACAGCAGAAGTTGCAATTTAATGGGAAAAGTTAGTTTAAGAGGGGAATTGTTGCCTTTTTTGTAGCAACTAAGAGCTATCTTTTTGGTCTAATGAAAGAAGTTTCTTGCAGTTGTTATGTGTGGAAATCCAGGAGCATTTTATTGCCCTTTAAAAAGAGACCATCGAGATCAGCACTGACCTCCAGAAGAAGAGATGAGCAGTATTGGAGTCCAAAGCACAACCATCAAATTATTATTATATATTTTTTTAGTATTTTATTGCCTTCTTCCTGGTGATCTTTAGGGACACCTTCCTATGACTAAAGGTGTGAATTATACTCCATGCATAGATCTTGCCCGAGCACTGACTCATTGGTGTGAAGCTGAGCAGTCATTGCAAGAAAATTGCTTACTGGGAAACACGATGTGTAAAACACAGCTGAGATGAACGCAAAACCAGTAAGTCCTGAAACCCGTTATGGGTTTCCATTAATAGAGGAGAAAATGAGAAGCATCCAGGTGTTGTACCCAAAAGCAAACACGCTCTGCCCTGAAAAGAGCTCAGAAAAACCCCTTTTGGCTTCCAAATCCACCGGGCTCCCCATGAGAGGCTCTTGTTCATTCCTTGTACTACTAGCCCCATTCTTTCAGTGCTGTGAGAATGATGAACTATAATTTCTCTAAATTATGCTTATTTTTACAAATTTTCTGCTTCTGTCAGGCTTAATTAATGTGTACACTTCCCAATAAGCCTTCTGATGCACTCCTAGAATAAATTGTCCGAAAGCCCAGTTTTTACATCCAACCTTGGAAAAACCTGCAGAAATCCCATGTCAAGACAACAGTGGCATGAAACAGGGAAAATTTTTGATTTTAGTACGAAGCTGCCGTAAATACAGAGCAGACTGACACAACCCATCACCTACAGGCTCCACGCTGTGACGTATTCTGTAGCATCACGATGCTTTAGGCACCTCGACTCAGCGCTGGACCCCAACGCCAAGACCTTGCGTAAGCGGAGATTGCAGCAGCATCTCCTTCATCAAGGAGCTTAAAATACAAGTGTCTATCTAAAGATATTTTTCCACAGCTGCTTCTGCACGTGCGGTGCAGGGAGGAGGAAATAAACGGTGCGTGTTTGACATTTGAGCCAAGTGGGTGATGGAGGCCACTGTCCTGGCCCCTCTGCGGCGGCTGCCCTTTCCGCTGCGTGATGGATGAGAGCTGGGATCGGGCTGGCGGTGACAGAGCCGGAAAGGGAGCAGTGAATCATTGGAAGGATGTGAAAACAAATGGCCCAGGAAAAGGCGGTGGGTTTGCGAGGATTTGTGCAGGTAAATGGTGGGGCTGGCAGCGGGAATTGTGAGGCCAGCACTAGGGATATGCAAGTAAGCTGGAGTTCCAAACAGTGGCTTTTTCAGCGTGTTACGTCCCATTATTCACTGTGAGCAATTTCAGGAGCATCCCACACTGCCTTCAGATCAACTGCATCCTTTTTTTTTCTTTCCTGCCTGCTGACAATGTGAGATGTGATGCATGCAGACCACAAGAGGAGGGGGAAAGAAGCGAGCATCCCCAAAGGCATGGGAACTGAGATATTGTGTATAGTACATAAAATATTATATGTAATGCTGTGTCTGGATATTTGTAAGACAGTCTTTGCACTCTTCATTAAGATTTTTTGTTTGTTTTTACTCTTTTTTTGTTTACAATTCCCGTTTATCTTTTTAATTTCCCTATGCTTGATGCCCAGTGTGAGGTTTTAAGAGTTGTTCCTCTCAGTAGGCACTATCTTATCATACTGCCAGTGTTACCAAGGTAGAAAATTAAATAAAACATTGCCACTCTTTTTTATCAAAGGGGTTAGCTAGTGATGCAGCCAGACACCATCTTTCCGCTTCCAGCGGGTGCTCAGCATCGCGGATCAGATGTGTCTGGATAATGACAATCTTCAACTCGGTGCAATGGAAGGTGCTGAAGTGACTCGTGTCTGTTCTTTCCCACAATATGTTCAGCAGGGTACTGCTACTTCACAAGTGTGTTTTCTATTACCGCTTTTTCATTTTGCTGTCTTTTAGTTCTGTATTGAATCTTGCTTAGAGAGAGAAAAACAAGATCTCTGCATTAATGACTGCAATCTCGGCAGCAGTCGGGGCTTTTATTCGGCTCTGTTGCTTGTGTTGGTCCCTCGGTCTCATCTGGAGTAGGAGCCTTGGAAGGCGCTGCCGTATCCCGGGTTTCGCCAGGCTGTTCTTGAGGTGAAGAGGCTGAAGTGGTCTGGGAGTAATGAACCACTCGTGAGCAGAATGCCTGTCAGGATGTAGAGAATCGTGATGTTGTACTCTATTTTTCTGCACTTAAGAGAAAAACAGGAGCTTTAAATTGTTAGCTGTGTATGGAGATGATTTCATATATGTCCATATTATACTGAGATCTGCTTTTTAAAATGTTGCACTGCAAAACCTCACCACCCTGTGCAAGAACTTTACATTCAACTTGCAGCCTAGCCCCGTGCCAGGGTGCTGGCACTTGGGCGCGGGAACAGCCGGGCTGCAAAGCAGGCATCTGCCGGGCGGGAAGCAGAGTTAATCAAACTAATTGTTTCGTTCTGCTTTCCGCTGTTTCTTCTGCTCTCAATTTTCTGCTTTTGTGTGCGGAGGGAAAAAGCAATAACGTCTGTCCGACACAGCACAAAGATCCTTGTTAGACACATTGCTTACCCGTATTGAAGTATGAATTCATCTTGGAGATGCCAATTGATTTTAGATTAAAATACCCTCATAATTGTATTTTGTCAATAATATAATTTAGGCTTATTTCTGTTTTTATACTCTGACGGATCATACATGTTTTCTGTAATACTTTTCTGTTTTTTTAACCTTTTCTACTTTTACAGAAGAGTGTTGAAGTTTTCAAAATGCTACATTTTTACTTTTGCAGCTGTAACTTTTTCCCTTCTCCTTCTCAGTTTCTTTGTAAGTAACTTAGTGTTTTTATTGGGGTTGGAATGTTTTCCATTAAACTCAGAACATCCTTTTAAAGGATAGCATTAGAAGAGTCTGATTCTTCTTTCAAATGATTTCTTTTTTTCGAACTGGAGTTATTGAGTTGTGTTGTTAATAATTGAGACAGTTGCTTGGCAGTGTCGTGTCGACACAGGGGAATTTTGTGAATTCATACATTTTTAGCCGCAAATGAATGATGTTATTTGTTTATTCTGTACTTTCTGGCTTGTCTCATCCTCCTAATGTGCATATAGCATTTTAGATCTTTGTCTTGGCTTGTCTTTAAAATATTGAAAAGTAAAATTCCCATCAGGTTCAGCTCTTAACTCAGTGACCTTGTGAGTTCAGACATGAGCTCTCCTTCAGCTTGCTTTTGTCTTCTTCCTCTTGACAGGTTACCTTAGGAAAAGTTTTGAAAGTGATCGTGGTGATGCGGAGTCTCTTCATTGACCGGACGATAGTCAAAGGATACAACGAAAATGTCTATACTGAAGATGGCAAGGTTGGTTATCGTATATCCAAGAGCGTTAAACTTTATTTTTACCCGGTATTTAAATGATAGAAAACAGGAATCGCATCCCAAGTAATGCCAGCAACATAAAAATGTCAAAAGACTTTTTGTGGATGCTTCACCACGTGCTCGGATTTAAATTTATCATGCTTTGCTTGGATTTTTCGTACCCTCATGTCTGACATCTTTCTAAGCTCTGATGCCCTTGCTGGAATTTCTAATTTATCACCTTAGACCTCGGTAGCCTCATTAATAGTGTCTACTGAGAAAACCTTTTTTTTTTTTTTTTTTTTTAGTGTATTGGCCCAGGGTTCGGATGCTCTTTTTCTGAGAGCCACTGGGAAATCTTGGGCTAGTTTTATGCTCAAGTCGATAAGCTCAGGTACGAGAATCATTGGGAGATAGTCCGCAATTTGCTTGTCAGTAATAGCCCAACTCAAACAGCAGCTATTACAGCGAGCGTTACCTCTTTCCACAAGTGATTTGTTTTATGAACAATTCACCCTGCTTGAACCCTCAAATTTCTTCTGACTGCACACGCTCCATATGGCTCTAACGCATCTGAAGATGTTAATGGGACCTGACGGCATCAGCTCCGTTTGGTTCCCTTTTCAGGTGGAATGGTCTCTCTTCCTGAGACAACCACCAGGCCTCTCCCCTGCCAGTAACAGTGCTAAATATCTCCATCCTTCACATTTGCTCTCTGGAGCTTTCTCCTCTGATTACGAAGCCTATTAAAATACAAAGTTCATTATATCAAGACGAGCGCTTGGCACCCATAGGCCATGTTATAATGAGGTGAGACTTGCCTTCTTTTCAGAAGTGCTAACTGTGTTTTAGCACCCAGCAGCACGTTGTGTGCTGACCCGTGGTTCAGCAGCGCTCTCTTCGAGCCTCTCTTCCCTGGCAAAGGCCGGCAGCTGATCCGCACAAGCACAGAGTGCATTTCCCACGTGCCAAATTCTCCCTCCAAGAGCAGCAGGTTGACCTAGGAAGTAGTAAAATACTAGTTGCCTAAATCTGATCTGCCTTATTCAGACCTGATCTTATTCTGATCTGCCATATGCGGGTTTAAATACCCCTTTATAAGAGAAACAGCTGCACCATGCTCCCTATTAACCCGTAATTACGCCCTTCGAGCAGCAGCCCCTCTTTTCCCCAAGTTCTGCCCGCGACCAAAATGATATTCTGCCTGCAAAACGTTGACAGTGCTTGATGGATTCCCGCGTCGCCTTTCATTTGGCTCTGCTGCTTTTCTCCGATGCCTCCAGTTTGCTTTGAAGTTCCCTTGGAAAGTAATAATTGTGCATTTGCCGAAAAGCTGACTAAAAGACTTCCCCTGTGAAACGGGGCATCCAGGGCAGGGCCTCTGGATAGCTCAAGGTTAACCCACGTGGGAGCTGCTGCCCTTTCCCAGGGCATTCCTGCAGTTCAAGGGGAGCAGCTGGCTTCTCCCAATGTCCATGCTAACGCCTGGCTTATTTTTCTGCTCCAAACCAACCTGCAGGACAGTCTGTATTTTCTGCCCATCGGCTTTCTGTCCAAAGTTGAGCTATGTGACTGCTCCCAAGAGGCTGAAGGAGCTGCTGCCGTTTACATGGCATTTTGCTGTGTCATTAGGCCGTCCCAGGGCACTCGCAAACCTCCTTGAAGGTCTGTGTTTTAGATATAAATAGGATTTAAGTAGAGCTGCAGTTGCAGCCACTTAAATCATGAGTAAATTTGGCTTGGAAGATTGGGTAAATGTGTAGCTTGCTCGTTTTGCCAACTGGAGCACATATTGACAAACAGTGGGCTCCCTCTTTTTCCCTAATTAACTACTCTGGTAATTGGAGAATAAAAGTAAGATTGTGCTCTTGCAATGATGTGCTTTGCTCACTGCGCCTGCTGGGAATGAGCGATTACAGGGAATTGCAAACACACCCCAATCCAACTCCTCCTCTGTCGCAGGAGATGCTGCTGGGAACGTGCTCCAGTGGGGTTTCAACATGCTCTTCTGCTCCTAAATTTCCAATCTGAAGGGGGGAAAAAGTAGTAGCATCTTTGAAGAGACACAGAGGAATAAGGCAAAGCAGGGGATCTTCTGTATTAAACAAGAAAAATGTGAAGGATTCTTACGTTCACAGAAGGTGCTGATAATTTTTTCATTGAGCTGTTTATTCTGTAGTTGCTGGGGTTTGGATTTGCTAATGTATTCCCAGGAATCATTTAATATTTGCAGGCAGCGGAGATGAGATTAACTGGGGGGGTTTCTTGCAGTGTGGCAAATCTGGAGCCCCTGTCTTTACTGCAAGCCACTCTGCAGAGGCACTGGAATAAGTCATAACATTGTTGTTGTTCTTTACACTTAAATAGTCATCTTAAGTTGGTAGTAGCTAAAATAAGACAGTGCATTTTGGAACTTTATATTTTTAAGATTTTATTTATTTATTGGGTTTTGAATTTTTTTGTCAGACAAAGGACCCAGTGCATGTCCTAAGGGCTTCGTGTACTTCTTTTGTGAATTATTCACAAGCCCTGCAGATGATGACTTTGCCAGGTTGCCAGCTGCATAACTTACCCGTTTTTGGTGTCACTTTGCAAAAACAAAAGGTGATACCTGGCAGCCTCTGTCATGTCCCTGGGTCTGTATTCTGATGGTGCTGCAGTCTCTCCTGCTTACTGCACAAACCCCCTGCATCCCCCCAGACTGATGCATTTTCATGAGTCCCTCAGCTTCAGCGGTGGCACTGGGCCACCCTTCATCTCCCAAGCTCCCTTCTACACTGGAATTTAACCATAGTTAGTAATTAATTACTCACGTTGTCCCGATTCCTGGATAAATCAAGCTGCGGAGCTTGCTCTTGCAGGACACGCTTCTCACGAGCTGAGCCATTAGGAGCCCTGGTCTGTAATGGAAATAAAACTGTAGAGTGGTATTTGGCATAGTAATCTCCTCCTCCTCCTCCTTGCACACAGAAGCCAAAACCCACCACGACACCACGTACTTGGAGTGGGTGCTTCACATCACCACGTAGCCATGTTCCTCTTTTTACCTCCGTTAGTCTTAACTAAAGAAACGTAAGTGTCTCCGTTGAATTGCCACGGCAAGGAACTTGGGTTATGTTAATGCAATGGCTTCATTAATTACCCCATATCAATAAGAAAAGGCAGCTTTTAGCCTCCTAGCGTAAGCGAGGGAAAGAAATAGTAGTATCAAAGGAAAGCTTCAAAGACAGCCAGAGCCGTCTCTGGGGTAATTTCTGATCCCTGCATTCTTTCCACTTCAAAGCTGGCTGTGTGTGTGTTTGGGTGAAGGGGGGCTTGAATCCGATTCCTCTAATAAGTGTTGGCACCGGACCTGTTTGATATTAGATGCAGGGAACATTCTGATTTGTTATCGCCTTTGAAATCGCTCAGACGACCTTCAGAAAATCGGCCCGTGCTGCCGGTGCTGGGGCCGGGTGGGGAGCGCGAGGCACTGGGAGAGGAAGGCCCGGCTTAATTTGCATGCAGAGGATGCCCCGAAATGGGGCTTGCAGCAGGTTTTTAGTTACAAATGTGTGGCTTGATTGGAAGTGAAAAGTTGAAGAATAATAGACCTGTAACGATGCATTCTTTAATCTGCCTCTGCCTTCATCCTCCGTTTCAGGAGGGGAAAGGTGGGCAGTCGTTTAGGAGCTCTGCATGAGAGCTGCAATTTTTGGTATTTTTTATTTTTATACACACGCACACATACACACACACACACACATATATATATTTAACTTAGGTAGCAGGATATCAGTAGAACACTCATTATTTCTTCAGCTTTTCAGTCTTCATGCCAAATAATGAACAATCAGAACCTCTTAGACTCATTTTAATGCAGTATCTGAAGTGGATTTTTTAATGATCTTGAATCTAAACAGAATGGTGTAGTTGACTGGATCACTGGAGATGGCCAAAACCATATATACATTCCAATTACAACTCCATATTTATATATAAATTAATATAAACTATAATTATATATATATCAATATATAAATTCCAACTCCATCTGTCATCAAATGAAGTCTTAAATTACATGAAAATAGTTAAATTCTGTATTTTTTTATCATTATTTTCAAATATAGACTCTTCTAACATGGCAGTGCAATGCTTCCTTCCATGCAGGCACAGGTAATAACTCAGGTAAAAGCTCAGGTTTGAAACTAGGCTCTACTGTGGCCTGTGGGTGCCCTCACTGTGGCTAGTGCTGGTGTCCAGGCAGGTTTTTACGCCCGCCTGAGGAGTCAGCAAAGCAAAAGGGTTTTAGTTCCATGCCTAAGGGTAGCTTTGCCTTCATCTAACCTGGAAAAAGCTTGGAGCCATCAGCTGCCTCCTGTCTCACGCCAAGGTCAGCCTCCCGAGTCACGGCACATCCATCCGCAAGGGATTTTTTAAAAACAATTCCCATCACCTGCCGTTAAACCCGAGGTCTGGAGACTGAGTAGTCGCTTCCTGTAGCAGTATTTGGAGAAATGGGCCGCTTACCAGTGCTGCTCTCAAAAGCCTGATATTGTGCCATGAGCAACGGGAGCCTCTTTAACCATGCCAATTAATTACTTGGGTTCAGCAGCCTTCCATTTCTGCTCCTGCATCCCCCTCCAGTGCATTTCACTTCATAGGACTTGCTGCTTTTCTCCCTGTAATCTTTGTGCCTTTGAGAAGATGGGCAATTTTCACCCAGCTTCTGGTCAGAATTAAGATAATTAGCTGTACTTTATAAAAGTATCCAATGTATGTAATGTACCATGCCCTATTTAGTCTGAGATTAACTCTCGGTTTGGTTCCTGTAAGGTATTTCAAACTGAGGTACAGAGCGTGCTATTGTAATATCATTAATGGAATGATAAAGTCATACAAATGCAGGATCTACATGTGCATTTAAGCACATTTCTTACAGAAAATGGAAAGCACTGTATGTATCTGTTTCTTAATGATAAAATGTATGTTTGCACCTGGAAAGAGGTGTTCTCTGTGATTCTGGTTTTAGATTCCCACTCTACAAAGATCTGTCTCCCCGCTCATTGAAGGTTAAAATAAATAAAATCTTTAATCTGCTTTATTGGGTTTGTGCAGTTGCACTGTTTGCCTCTAATGTTTGAACCATGGATCCGATTTCAATCAAGTTTAACACAGTTGAAGATTTTGTGTTTTATATCTTCCCAAGAGGCTGAACGCAGAAAGGAGATGGGGCTCCATTGTAGGAAAGCATGTGTCACATCATATTATCAAGCAGCAGAAGAGCTGTACCTGCTTCATTAATTCACTCAAAATCTGTTTTTATTTCATCAAGCTTAAGATTCCAGAGGTTAATGTTGTAGCAAACACCTTTCCGGCAGCAGATGAAATTGTTGAGTATAGTGAGATCTGTAAGCAAAAAGTAATTTGCAAGCTGCAGATTAATGGAAGGAAATTCCTCTTTTTTTTTTTTTTTTTTTTTTTTTTTTTTTTTTTTTTTTTCTGCTGCTTTTCCCTGACAGAGCACAGGATATTCCACAAGGATGGGTTAAAAGAGCACTAGCATGTCGATTTTTTAACATGCAAGTCATTGGGGGCTCAACAAGAGCAGGCTTCTCTTCTGGTTTCTGTGGTTAATAAAATTCAATTCAGTTATTTTACCTCTTTTTGTTTATTTTGCTTTCTAGTTTGTATATTGTTGAACGTGCATTTAAGTCATGGATGTGCACAGCTATCTACAGAATATCTGCTAGCTTGATTTTCATCTGCAAATGTAAATGCCCTTTCCTAAGGGATGTTTTATTTAGCCCCAATAGACCAATGCTTTGGATTAATTTAGCTAAATGTTCTTTGTGTCATTCGTAACTGAATCACTTATTCAGACACAAGACAAGCATAAACTTAGGAAAAATATCCTTGTTTTGGAGACAGATTGAAGCTGGTGAATATTTGCATAGATCAGCACAGCCTCATACAAATGAAGATTTTCTTGTTTTTAAAGAAAACTCACTGATTCAACTGGGTCTTGTTTCTGTATTTTTTTTTTTTTTTTTTTTGTTGAAACCCTGATGAATTCTGTTCATTCTTTATTGCAAACAAAGTCTCATGTCTTTTTTCTTGCAGCTTGACATATGGTCTAAATCCAACTATCAAGTATTTCAGAAGGTAAGTCCCACCTCATTTCTCTCTATATAATACACAGATTATACAAGACTCTCTATATAACATACAGGCCTTATGCAGAGTTTATTGGAAATATATAGGTCCTCATGTAAGAGAGTTTAGAATTTCTTTGTCAGTCATGCTTAATATGTTTATAGAACTTCTATCACAGCTTTCAAATAACGATGTCATTTATAGCAAGAGAAAAAAGCATGAGTAGAAAATAAGATGAATTCAGCTGTTGTTATTTAGTTTAGATTTGTTTCTTATCACAATTCCAATCCATGATTTGGAGGAGAAAGCTGCAGATTTTACTACTTGAGCCTTCAAGCTGCAGGAGGAATCAAGTGCTCCTGTTAGGTGAAGTCTCTGGGAGGTGCCATTTCGGGTTGGTTTGGGTTTGATACTTGGTTTGGTTTGTTGCTGCGGTTGCCTCTGAAGCCTCGATGTTAATAAGCTTGCAGAACAGGCTTTCCGGAATGACCTGGAGGGTTTTGGGATATATTTTTGTGCTTGCTTCTCTTTTCTTGGTGATATAAGCAAAGGGCATCACTTCCCGAAATGAATGGCATCCATACAGTACTACTGAGCTGGCGGGAGCAGTAAGTGTAAAACTGCAAGGAAGGTAAAAGTGGAGTTTTGCATAGAAGTGGATCTTGCTATTTTCAAGGCTATAGAAAATGTCTCTTTGAAGGCCCTTTGTCAAAATGCTGCAAGTTCAGATTGATCCGGCTTCAGATTCCCATTTCCTTCCCTTCAAGCCGCAGTTCAAGGAGCTAGAGTCTCCAGCGAGTGTGCTCGCTTCCTTTCATCTACTTTTGTGGTTTATGTAACAAATACGGGTCGGGGACTCTAAAGGGCAGAAAAGCAGGGGTCAAAGCTATGGCATATTGGCTGTATTTGTGCATCTTCCTTCCAAGATGGCATATGCAGTCAGAAGGGAAGGCGTTTGACCTGTGATATTAACCTGCTGGAGATCAAAGGACAGCTTTGGGGAAGGCTCCTGCCTTCCCTGTCAGACCAGTAATAAAGAAAAATTTTACTGTGATCGATTCTTTACTCTGGAGATTGGGAGATTAAATAATCTTATTTTTTCCCTCCTGTCTTTCCACAAATGCATTCTCTATGCTGTGTCAAGTAGGGGAGTGGAGTGGAAAGTAAGCCAGCTGACATTATAATTTGTTTATCGGTATACTTTTAAGTAATCGTTGCAAAGGAATGGATGTAAGGTTTTGTAATTAAGTGCCTCTTCTCAGATTCCCATATAGGCTCAAAATTGGAATCCTGTTTGAGCCCAGGCACCATCTTCCTGGATGTTTTAGCTTAGAATGACTTGGAAGGGTTAAGCTTTATCACTGGAACGGAGATAGATTCTGACTTTTTGATTCTGTAAGTTGAATTTTACATTGAGAAGACAGCAAACCGAGTAGTTTATTAAATGTACAGATTTGGAGAGCAGTCCAAGTTAAGGACTCGAGGAGTGTAAGTTTGTGGAGTAACTTCAGGTCTCTGTGATGGCCTTCACATCAGAAAGGAAAGAGTTGAGTGGAAAAACGCCAAATTCCTGTGTTAATGCTGCCAACACATCTTCGTTATGGATAGACAGGAGTCTTTATTCCCTAGTTCTACTAGAGAACTAGGGTTAATTAACTAAATACTCCTTTAAAACAATAATTTCAATGAAACACCTGGGATGGAAACAAAAAATATGTGAAGGGGATATTTTTACTGTGGTGTGTCTGTCTGCGTGCATATGAAAACCAGGGACAGGTCTCTTTCTAATTCTCTCCATTAATGCATTTTGAAAGGAGAAAGAAGACAACTGCAGGATGCAGGAGCAAGTGTTGCTGTAGCAGGCAGAGCAGCTGTGTGTGCTCCAGGTCTTGGACACTGTGTTCCCAGCTCTGTCATTGTGTTACCTTGGGCAACTTACCCTCGCTTTGGATCAGTTTTCCACATCCCTTAAGTCGGAGTTGTACTTGCTGACTTCACAGGAACTCCTCAGCTGGGCTGCTTGCACACAGCTTTTAGACCCTGGCATGGAAAACAGGATAAAGAGGCAAGAGGATGGTGTTTTCTAAGCAATAGATGGTGAACTGATGGTTAAAGAAGTCAAGAGTAGGACCTAAGTCATTTCTTCAAATGGATGATAGAAAAGGATGTAGTTCTGCAAAGTAAGTTTAGTTTAGTTTTGTTTTTTTTCTTTGTGGTGCTGTGTTTGGTTTGATTTTTATTTTGTTCTCTGAAACTGCACATATATCCATTTTTAATACCCTAGGATAGTGATTTAGGAGTAGTGAGATGGAAGAAATCCGACAAAATCGTGTTAGAGAAGCAATTTTACCCTGTTCATGTTGTAATACCGCAGGCTCTTCCGAACAGATGTTTTCCTCCCATTAAATAATTACCAGTAAACGTGTCACAGCTGCGTGTCCAGCAACCCTGCGGAAGGTGCCACCCTGAGAGGGACACGCGTGGCCTGGTCACTGCCCCGCTGGGGAGGCCACACACCCCAAGCACCCCCAGCCCAGAGCACCCCCAGCCCTGCTGCCTTGCACGCTGTAGAAGTCAGTCCTTGCTTTAAAGGGCAGGGAGATTTCTCCCTCAAAGTCAAGTTCTCCAAGTGTCCCTTCGATGCTAATAGAAGAACATGTGGAGTTCCCCAGGTCCCCGGGGTTGCGGGATGACTTTCAGGGTTAAGGACCAGAGACCTCTGATCCTCAATCCAAGGCTGTCAAACAAAACAAAATCTGTCCTGACTTCTGCTTGCAAACGTTGGCTGTGTCAGCAAGGCTCTTCTGTCTCCTTATTAAGCAGGACACCCAAGTGTGTCTACCTCAGTGGGGGACAGCTCCCTGTAGGCCCATTACTGTTCAAGTGAACGGCCGCTTTCCAAGTTCCCTGGAGACCTCTTGAATTTGGGCCTGGGGTGAATAGGCTTTTATAGCCATTGAATCCACCAGCAGGGCTAGATTCAGAGAATGGCACTTGGAAATAAAGGAGGGAAGACTGAAAGGGCAAAAGCACAAGGAGCAAAGAAAAGGTTTTTCAGATTTCCATATTTGACATTTAAACTCGGTGGGAGCAGCAGCTGTTTTGATCTGAAACCTCCTTATTTTCACACCTCGCGTGTCTTGATGCAGTAGCAGAAGAGAAGGAACAAAACAGCAAGTAAGGAAACCTCTGTTGGGTTTAAAGCTTGGTGGGAAGAAGAATGCACATGAGGACTGCAGGATTTCAGGTCATTGTGCAGAGGATTAAAAAGAAGATACTGTAGAGAAAGGTGCAAGATTCATAGCTTTGCATTCAAAAGAAAGGACAGAGGAATTGCTCCTAAGGGATAAAGACTGTTGCTTGGGAGATGATGTCTAGCATTAACTGTTTCATTTGTCAAACTGCTCAGGAAAACAGTATTTTTTTAAAGCAATATGATTTTGGCTGCTGGAGTCACACATTTTGTTCAGACCTCCAAGCCCCCTTCTTGGTTTGCTCACTGGTTGTGTTGGGGCTTGATTTGCTTCCCCCCTGGTCACGTTTTAACTTCAGCAAGTTACCTGCGTGCGCCCAGCCATCAGCCTGCGAGACGTACGATCCCAGAGCAGCGAAACTCAGCACAATTTTCCCCACTGCAAGGGCACCGAAGTGTTTTAATGTATGAAGATGTATTCTTGTCAATAAGCTCGGCATAAAGTCGCGGGCGGGATGAATGCATGCATGAGATATCGGCCTATTGATGGTGTCTGCTCAAGGAGACGGGGTGGTCTCTTCCAGGGTCACCCACCCGGGTGCTCCTTTGCATGAGCCCTGCTCGGCGACCTGCGCAGGTGACACAAAATCCCCGTGACCCAGCCCAAATAGCAGAGCAAGCGAAATAAACCCCCGGGCACACGCTGAGCTCCAAAAACACCTCGCAGATCCAGCGCTTCGGAGAAGTCTCATGGACCATTACCAGCTTTTACATGAGAAATGCAGTGGCGTTGGATTTGCCGGTGGGGAAGGGGTCAGGAGGAGGTTTTTGGAGCTCATCAGTGACTCCTTGTAGAAGGGACCATCCATCTTCCTGCCCCAGCGCCTCTCGGGCACCCGCGGCTCCACTTTCCCCAGCCCCTCCAGAGACGCTCGAATGTTTTCCTGGAGAGAAGATTGAATAAAGGGACTCCTTGGGAATGAAAAAGGCACTCTTAGAGTTTGCCACAGCATAAACTCTCTAAAAACTAATAAAGTAAGGGTTTTTTTGTGATTTTTTTTTTTGTCATTGCCTTTTTTTTAGTTACACTCTGTTTATCTTCTGGAACTCATTGCCACAAGCTACTGTTAAGACCATCAATGTAGGGTTTATAAGATGAAAAAAAAGTTTAAAATCTTTTTGGGGATTTAAAGAATTGCTTTATATTAGATGGAGCTGTCAGCGCTGCACTTGCGGGACTAAGCCTGTAAGTGAGTGGGAAAGAAGTTAAGTATTAAAGGAAGTTTTGCACATACATATTTTTCTGGCAGTGAGATAAAGCGCTAGAATAGTGAGACAAGATCTATAGTGTTGTCTGTTATGGTTGTCTTAATTTTCTGTCTTAGATTTTCTGTGTTTTTTCTGGCTCCGAATACCTATGGACGGCACTTACAGCAGAGCCATAGGTGCTGGCTTTTGGGCTGCTTATCCCAAGGAGCAGGAGCCCTTGTCCAGCTCTCAGTCTGCAAATCGTAGCATACTTTTTAGAACGAATTTGCAGCTTTGGAAGCGTTGTGTGATGAGCAGTGCTTGTCCGTGCTCACCGATGCCTTTTTTTGTTGCGTTTTGGAAAAGCATAACCTTTAGAAATCACGTTTCAGCACATCCACCCCACCGAGCAGGAGAGGAAACGCCGGGGAAGAGGCAGGCGCCGGCGCCGTGGAGGCACCAGGCAGCGACTTTGCTTGCAGCTCCTCGCTTTGCTTGGCTCTTGCCTTCTATTAATACCTTTCCTGAGCCAGCAAGGCGAGCGGGGAGCCGGCCATGCCTCTCCGCAACGCGTCTCAGAGCAGCCAAGGGCCCAACCAGCCCTGCCACCTTGCTGGAACCGGCTGCTCTCCGAGTGGGAAAGCTTGGGAGTTCGCCCAAGGTCACCGTGAAGACGAGGTTTGATGCAGGGATGATTGGGGTTCAGCATTCCCGGTGCTCCGGAGGAGGGAGCAGGGATGCGCCGTGTTGCTGCGCCTTGGTTATCAACTCGGAAAGAGAAATTGGAAGGAAATGTGTCCGAGACGAGATGAGCAGTTAACGACAAGGGAGGTTTCTTGTTCAGATGGAAAACAAAAGTGTGTCCTTTGCTAAACCAGCTCATCCAGCTTAAGGCAGTTTAGGTTTGTTTAAAGAAGGCCAGGACCTTCCCTTTGCCAGAACTACAATCCTTTCTTGCTCATCTCAAAGTGAGGATGTGTTTAGTTGAACAACGGCTCTTTTATGTAGCAAAATTACAACTACAGAAGCTTTTTTTCTTTTTTCTTTTTTTTTGACAAAGCTTCCAGGTGTTTTTCAAAATGAATTGTGAATTATTGAGCTTTTCTGCAAGCCTAACTAAAAATCTATTTCAAGGTCCAGAGCAAGAGCAATCCTCATCAATTTGTGCTCTTCTGAATGTGTTCCTACATAAAAAGGGGTAGAGAAATGAGAAGGTGACCAAGAGCTCGGATAGCAGTAGAGAAGATAGAGCTATAAAAGTGAAGTTAATAAAATAAAGCCCCGAAATACACAAAATGTCAACCTACACCCAAAATAAATTAGCTTGTGATTCCAGCTTGGCTGGAAGAAAAAGTGTGTCCCATAACTGAGCTGGCACATATGTGGTTTGTTTTGCTTTGCTTTGGTGTGAAATCGTATTGCCATTAGTAAAGCTGGAGTAAAGCTGGGTATTGATCTTTTTTTAGATCTTGGATAATTTATGCTTTCTCTCATCATCTCATTTCTTTTTTTCAGTATTATTATTCCCTCATTCACATGCACTGGCCAGTCTGTGATTTTTATGTTTTTTCCCCCAGTTCTTTGCTTTTTCTTGCTTGACATCCCAGTGTTGCTTTTTGGGAAGGGGGAGTGGGTTTCATCCCCCTCCTTGTATTTCTCCTATTTGACGTGGGCTTTGATCTTTTTAGAAGCACTTTATCAGCACTTGCTTATGGTAGAAATCACCTGGTTTTTGTTCAGAAAACATTATTAGTGTTCTAGCAATGCTGGGATGGCTTTTATCTCCCCGTGGAATCTCATTAGCTTTACGTTACAATAGGAACAGCATATGTGCAACTTTACCAAAGTGGCCAGTCAATTTAAATTTGTTAATAGTGGTTTTTTTTAGGCAACTTTTTCTACATCTTCAATGCCGAGAGAAAACAACTTTGTTGTAAAGGGAAAAAACATGGGTTGTTAGAAGTAGAAGCACAGCAGAAGGAGAGCGGCTGCTCATAAATATCTTCAGTACCTTCTATTCTTTTACATGTCTAGTGCTGTCCTATAAAAGCAGCATCTTAAAAGGAAAAGATTCACATAGCTGGTAGGACTTGGATTACGGTTATTTCGGAACATTACATGAGAAGGTTTTAGAAATGATTGACTGGTTAGAGTTGCGCTGCTCTGTTCGTATCCAGTTAATGATTTTATTCCTATTTTTTAGATTTGTTTGAGGGCTCAGCAGGTTGTGCTGCAGCTTGTGAACATCGCCAGCATCTGCACGGTGCCAAGGGTTTTACCTTCCCAAAGTCAGGATCGATGTCCTTGCTCGCACGGAGAGGAGCCGCTTTTGGAGCTGGGCATGTGCACGAGCGATGGGGAACAGAATCTGTTGCTATAAATGGAGTGCCACTTAAAACTGGATCCAGCGTAGGACAGACTGATTTAGTCCAGGGCTCTGTGGAGGAAGCTTGTATGATGTGAATTAGAGCCTGTCTGTATATGGGTTTATTCAGGGCTGTATCTTTTTCAGATTTACCTCTCTAAATAGCTGCACACGTGTATTTTTTCCATAAAGAAAGCCTGAGTACTCCAGTGCAATTCCCTTCATGCTGAATTAGGCTAAGTACAAATGAGGAACAAGCAGTGTTAGTTGGGAATAACTTGTACAGTTTCCATTCACACTTTATTTGTAGTATATAGACAAGCCCAAAGAAATATATAGACAAGCTCAGAGAAATAAATAGACTGAGAGGCGTTCTTTTTCCTGTCAAAACTACCAAATATTATTTAATCACCAACTTGGCCTTCATGTACTTCGTTAGATGCTTTGATATGACTGAAGAGGCCCATTAATAGATGTACAGATCATCAGAAGTGGTTGTGTTGTCCGAGGTCTTTAATGCTCCAGCCCAAGGAATTTTGCCAATAACTTCCACATTATGCCCATAAGTGCATATAAGAAGTTCATATATGAAGCCTATTGCCCATGCTATTTATTTTGGGAAGCTCTAAACCAAGAGCTGCCAAATTGAATCCTGCTGCTGAGTTATATTGTAGCTCTTCAAAAACTGCCTCTTTCTTATTTTTCTTGAAGCCTGAGTTTAAAATTTTGATAGAAAATCTATCATAGCATTGGTTAGTTCTGCTGATTTCTTTTTTTTAATTATCCATGCTATTAAAAATAAGCATTTTATGTCTGTTCTGTCTAGCTAATTCCCAAATGTAAGATCGTGTTATGGCTCTCTCTGGTAGATTAAAAAGCTTTCTATCAGAAATCTTTTACTAGTGCAAGTATTTATAAACCCTAATCATATTAATCGATTCCTGGTTTCAGAGGAAATGAAACCGAGAACTCAATTCATATTTGTTCAACATAAGCAAGCTGAAATAAGAGTGCAATAGTCAAGTATTTAAAATGTGTGTGTCGGAAAACAGAGTACACCTTTTTCCATTAAAATGCAGTTTTAAAGTTGGATATTTTATCCTGATCTTTTTCTTGATTTTCAGTAAAAAACCATACCAGAGCTTTTTTTTTTTTTTNTTTTTTTTTTTTTTTTTTTTTCAAACACTATCTATTCCCATAACTTAGTTTACCAGAACTATTTAATTGTATTGCGTTATTGTCAGTGCTTCTTTTGTGGAATAAATCAGCATATGTTAGGGGAATATAAATGCTCTGAAAAATGACCAAAACAAAACTGGAAGCGTATAAAGAGAAACACAAAGTGCTTTCTTCTGACATGACTTGTTTAGCAGCTCAGCTTGTGTGTGATTTCACAGAATACATGGATTTCAATCACCAAGGCACAGCCTAGGGGGAATTGTTCCACTCTCCTGCTGTAGACACCTGAAAATTCATCGAATTATTTGCCGTGGGTGCTGTGTGCAGTATAGCACAGCAGAGCTTGTTCTGCCAGTGCTTTTTACAGAATACTTGTATTCTAACAGCGATAAAGTCTGTGTTTTCAGGCCCTTCCTTCCTCAGCCCTCCCTTGGGTTGGGGAGCTAAGGGCAGCAAGTCAAGCCCCTTCTCTTAGCACTGCACTGTGTGCCACCCAGCTGGAACCTTCCTGCATCACTCAACTACCACTTAGCCTCTTTTGCCCACACTATTAGCTTTTAGCATCGTTTTGAACTCCCCAGGGTGTGTTTTACTTTTCTGTGTAAATACTGCTTTGCCTGAACCTCCAAAGGAGTAAGAGGATCGTGTCCTTCTGTCCCATGCAGGTGACGGATCATGCAACCACTGCGCTCCTGCACTACCAGCTGCCTCAGATGCCTGACGTGGTGGTGAGATCTTTCATGGTAAGTGTATTTGAAATCACCTTCTTGCAGTGATCCAGTCAGCTGCTGCAGTCATAATCTCACCTGTTATAACAAGCCCAAGACAGTAGAGATTGACTTGCATTTCAGTAGAGATTTCTTCACATCTTATACCAGGATAAGGATCAAGATGCCCTTCACAGTACCCTGCAATAGTCGATGTTTGAACGTTGCTCTGCGTGTAGCCCTTCTGTCCCAGCCCTCACCACTTGCTAAGACTGGTCCGGGTTGTCTTTAAAGCTAACGGGAAAAACTCTTTTCAGACAAGCTCTTTGGTTGCCCTTGGCACTGTTCGTGCTGTAGAGGTGAATTCTGCTCCAGGGAGAACCTCCCCATAAGAGGAAACCTCCAATTCCCTATATTCCAACAGAGCCAGCTTGCTTATCAGTTTGGCCCATGTGGCAACTGGCATCAATTACTTGAAGAGAGACAGGAGTGTGGCTGGGAAAAGTCCATTTTGCTGCATCCACTTTCAAACCCAACCTTATTCCGAAGGAATCACGTGTATTCGCTCAGCATAACATTCTGCTTATATTTAGAATTTTATTTGTGAAATAAACTTGTTTATTAGCAGCCCTATTAATCAGAGGGTTGAGAACTAGGCTTTATGATTCAGAATTCCTTGTACCAAGATGAATTTTGGCAGGGGAGACTGTTGTTATTCTCCCTGCTGCAGTCTCCCAAACGAAGCTTTTTGCAGGAGGTTTCTCTGCTCTTCGTTATTTTTACTTCATCTGTGACATTAGTCCAGAACAAGGAGTAGGATGATGGAGACTTCTTAAAAGTGACACCCAGTTTTTGCCATTCACAGTGTTCAAGTGTAGAAGGTATAATTGGTTCGTTTATGTTTTTAATTTCCAATATGAATTTTCCAAACGGTCAGCCTGCCTTGCCTGCTGTGCTTACTAGTTTGCTTATTTAATAAAAGGCCAGTAAAAAGAGGGATTTGGGAAGGTCTTGCTTTCTTAGAGCACATCCTGAAATAATAGACTTTGAAAGGTGAAAGCAACTGTTACTGGTGTAATCCATGTTCCAACACGTGTCTGAAAATTAAATTTTAATAGAACTGGTAGCGTGTTTGCTTAAGACATGGCCCTGGTCTTATTGATTTGATAAAACACTACTGAAAATCTGAACAAAGCAAAACCAGATGTACATCAGAAGTGTCAATATATTAGCCCTTTCGCATGTCAGATGTGTAATCTGCTTGACAGGATATGGTGAGTCAGAGTTCTTTGATGGGAATGAAGAACTTCCCTTTTTCCCTTCACCAAATGTGCGCACTTTACCTTCATTTACCTGGTTTTGTATTAACCGTTCCGAAAACTCAATTTTTCTGTGATGCAAGCAAAGTTCACCCAAGCTGAAGTAAATAACAGCAATTTACTTGTAGTGTTCTGTTGCCCTTGTCCCCGTATTTACTGCTAAGCCCAGAGAAGATCTAGTTCTCTTGGAGGAGAGTTATCGACGGCCAAAGTTTGGTTGCTATAGAGAAGGCTCTGATGAAGATGGAAGGATTTGTTTCAATAAACTCAGCTGACCTCTTCTTCAGAGAACAATTTTCTCTTATCGATGTAATTCAATAGGACTTGAAATGACAAGATTCATGTGCATCCTTCACCGCGTAAATCTGCTGGACTGGGTATTTTTTTTAGTTGTATCTCCTTGAGTTTAGAATTATGCAATGCTTATTGCTATGTATGACATTAGGAAGAAACCAGGTAAGAGACAAGAAGTAGGAATGCTGGCACTTATTACTTGTTGTTGAACACTTGGCTTCTTTTCTTTTTTTTTTTTTCCTCCTTCTTTTTAACATCAGTGTAATCAGATTTAAAATTGTGGAGTATTTTTGTGACCAATGAGTATTGATCTTGAAATCACATTAGAAAGGAAGTTAGTTAGCTGGCCGCAGGAGTGCTCGTATCTTCAGCTATTAAGAGTTCAGGCTTTTGCAGTGCGATTGCAGCTGGGCTGTGGGAGATGATCATAGGAAGGGACAGACCAGTATTCATTTGAAGAAAGTATCCATCAAAAATAGTGTATTCCAGTAAAAATATAATGAGCCTTTTGGGGTGATTTTCTAGCTACAAATATCTCCTGGTCAGAGTGATTTTCTACTAATAAAGTTGCTTAAATAACTAAAAATAATAAGAATAGAAAAGAAATAAAGTGGAAATTCAGATGTGTAGTGACCTTGCAATCTTCTGCATGCTTTCTTTATAAAATCACCGTGCACCTTGCTGGGGCCAAGCCAAGATAGCCTCCGTGTCCTTGGGATCGCTGCTTGACAAGAGTGATGACATAGGGGAATGTCCAAATCCGGTTTCTTGAATTTCTCTGCCTTTTTTTTCCTTTCAGACCTGGTTGAGGAGTTACATAAAGCTGTTCCAGGCTCCGTGCCAGCGCTGCGGAAAGTTTCTGCAGGACGGGCTGCCGCCCACGTGGAGGGATTTCCGAACGCTCGAGGCTTTCCATGACACCTGCAGGCAGTAGCCGAGCAGCCCAGGTCCCCTTCTGAACCTTTCGTCCTGGGCTAATTCACAAGGTTGCACTAACACATTTGACTATTTAATAGCCACTTGGCTATTAAATCCAATATTGGCTTTAATAGCCCTTTGGCTATTAAATCCAGCTACAAGGAACACGAGTCGAATGGGGTACAGGGTGACGAGCTGTGTGGGGTTGCTTGATGTTTCTCTGCTGAAATGACGTTTGGGGTCTGACATTTGTCCTCATTATCCCAAACAATAAGAATATCCATGTACAGTATGTGTGTTTTGCCACAGAATTTGCAAAGATGAAGACTTTTGTAAGCTTAAAATAAATTTTGTATTCCAGAGTTTGTGCTGTTTATTTTATGGTCTGTACAACAAAACCTGTGGTTTGGGTGGGAATTTTTCAAAGCTGCTTTTTTTTTTTCTTTAGGAAAATCACAAGCATTTAAACATGCATGCTGATATGATAGGGGGTTTGTTGTTGCAGGGCTGCTTCTCTGTGCTGGTCTTTTTCTGGAAGAGATTATGGTGTTGATTAAACATGGAATTTCAAAGGCATGTGGCAGCTTGGAAGACGGTGTGTACTTTCTGAGGCAGGGGGGGAACAGATGTTTCCCTTTCCTAAAATTGTAGTGAAAAATGTTAACAAAATCTGCAAGTATTAAGTGGTTAGGAAATGTGTGACGAGCGGTGGCAGTGCGCAGAAGTCATTTGTCCCGTTTTAGAACTGAAAGGAGCCAAATAAATTCAGCCTTGGAGTGCAGCCTCTGCGGCACAGATGCAGGCAGTGTGTCGCTTAAACGGCTTAAAACTGGCGTGTGGCACCAGCGAGGTGGGAGATGTCCCCTATGGGGACCACGTGGACGTGTCCTGTTCCCACCGGCCCTGTATCCGTCAGCCCAGAGCCTGCCAAGGTCTCTGCTTGTCCCAGCTCGGTGGCTCTTGGCCTGGAGCTGCAGCTGGATCAGTGTCTTCCGTGGTCTCCATAATCAGTTTGCTTTCAGGAGCCACCGAACAGCCTGGAGCAGCGCTTTGTCACTTGGTAATTTTCTTATAATACCCCTATATGTTAAGGTGTATATAGTGTAGCCAATTCCCTTTTAACTGGAGCTACTGGGAAAAGCTTGTGCTCAAAGGAAAGGTGGCCCTTTCAGATGCTCTGCTGGTGGTGAGGTCTGGGTTGGTTGTTGAGTGAAGTTGCCACGTTTAATAATTAAAAACCACTTAAAAAAGACAAGATTTTTTTCAAATCTGCAGCATTTATGAAGCTATCTGTTCAACAGCTGTGGAAGGCAGAGAACAAAGGAGCTTGAGTATCACCCTGTGCTTGGATGGGGCCAAGTTAACTGGGTTTAAAAGGGAATAAAAAGACATTGCTTCTGAAGACACCCACTCCTGAGGACAAGGATGGGAGCAAGCCTGGCACGTGGGAAAGAGAGGGACACTTGGAAGAAAATACACATTTATGACCTCCTTTGGAGGCACTACATGGTGTAGGAGGAATGAATGCCCATTGGCCTGTTGGAGTGCATTGGTAAGTAACATTTTTCCCCCATTCTTTCCACCACCAAGCAGCAAAAAATGCCTCCGAGTGGATTCCTGTGGGCAGCCGATGGCTGCTTCAAATCCTGCTGCTGCTGAATTACCTAATGGCAACTTGTGCTGTTGTCTGACCCAGGTGGCCTCGGTGGTGCAGAGCTCGGCCGGGCTGGGACGGCGCCTGCATCCGAGATGAGAGGGGACCCTGCGGATAACGGCACTGCTGCTGCTCCCGTCGCCCTGCTAATTGGCAGCGCCGGCTTTCTCGTGGCGTAAGCATTTAGCTGGTGTTAATAAAAAGGTCCTTACGGTGGCCAGGCTGCTCGAGGGGCCGCTCTCTGCTCCGGGGTGTTTACACTCGACGGGTGGTGCAGAAAGCAAATCCCCAAGTTGACCAAAATACTGGATGGGGAAGCTGCTTTGGCACTAGGAGGTAATTAGCTGGAGTGAGTGGCATCGGATGGTCTGTGCTAATTGAGCCGGAGGTTTTTAAACCTGTAATTGGTGAGTCCGAGTCGTAAAATACCACAATAGATACCTGATTGCAAAAATGATTGTGTTGGGGAAATACAACATGGACCTCCTTGGTGTATTTCTTCCAAAAAGAAGGAAAAAAATCTGTGATAAGAATGAATCCTGTCCCCTCTTAGAGGCCTGGGAGCAGTGGTGTCCCCAGGCTGCGCCAGTGCAGCCTCTTCCTTCGCAAACCTTTCCAAATGGAACGGGCTGGAATATTTCCATTGCGGGGAAAAGTTAACTGTCTCAACTCTTCTGAAGCTTATACATTTCAGCAGTTTGGATGCAATATGTGCTTGTCTCTGCTTATTGTCCTGGAACTCTAAATTGCTCAGCGGTGAGTGCCTGATTATTGCTGAGATGGGACTTTGCAAGCCAAGCAGCAGCAAGCGCCGAGCCCCGACTGCAAGGTACAGACCTGGGCTCAGGCCCTGGCTTAAATCTGATCTCTCGCTAGCGCATTTGGCTGCTCTTCCTCCAACCCGGTGACTGAGCAGGGTGTTATTTTTCTTTGCCATCCTTAGTTTTAGGGGCTGGGGGACAGTTTTATGGCAGGATGGGCAAGGAAGGAGGCAGTGGGGCCACAATGCCGGGCTGCTTCCCGTGCCTCGGGTAAGGGTTACAGAGCTGCATCGCTCCGCCAGTCTAGTTTATATTACAAGGATATATTAATCTCACCTAGTGCTGCAGGGAGAAAAATGCATTGCCTCGATCTGTTTAATATCATCTCGGTATCACTTATCCCAATCAGAACACGCAGGTCTCCTATTGCCTCCCTGATGGGAAGAAATCCCTTTCTCTCTTCCCACGTGCACAGCCCGCCTCCCGTTCCCCGGGAGCTCGCCAGTGCTAAAGGTTACAAAATCCATCTTTTCTCTAGGAAAGCAACTTAATTAATGGGCAAGTTTCTCGCGCAAAGGGAACCCTCCGCAGATACGCAGTGCGTATTGCAGCCAGCTCCCCTCTTCCCTTCAGCACCCCTCCCCAAACCGCTTTAATTTCTCTGCCAATATTGGACAAATGTAACAGGCTGACTTTTTAATTTTCTACTCCCAGGTCTCCCTTGTCCCCTCATGCATTTTTCATCACAGCTCGTGGCTCCCTCCCTGCCTGCCCTGTGAACAGTATTGATCGGCTGATTAAGCCATCAAGCCATGGCAAACAACTTTAATTTTCTAACCAAAGCCTTTTAGTTCTCTTCCTTTTCTTTTATATTTGTTACCTTCTTGGCGGAGTTTTTAATATCTCCTTGGAAACAAATATGTTTCTCGAATTAGGCCCCGGGTTAATAGGGAGCTATGAGCCACTGCTAGCAACTCGCATTACAGTAATAACCCATAAACTGTAAAAAGAGAAAGCTGGAAGTGGCCAATAGGTTCCCCATTATCATAAATTTTGCTAAGAAAAGCTGAAGCCACAGGCTATTCCCACTAGAACTAGTCATGCAGGCTGTCCCCATCCTAGGCTCTGCTTTGGAAAAGCCTTGGGCTGCAAAGGAGGTTTCCAGCTCAACCCCCCAGCAGCTCATTAGATTTCCTGCGGACCACTGGCTGCATGCTCTGAAAAAACGAGTTCTGCAAATGCACCTGGGACTTGACTCGTCTGGCAGAACCTGGACTATCAGCAGTGATAAAGCTGAAGGAGACCCCGAGCGCCGGGGCTGGCAGGTGGGGAAGGCGCCTTCGTTGCAGCCAAGAACTGGGATTTTCAGCCAGGTTTGTCCCAATTGCTCTCTGGGTTTATCCTAGTTACTCTCTGGGTTTGTCCCAGTCACTCTCTGGGTTTGCAGATTGCTTTTCAGAGTGAAAAACGGAGCTGAAGCTGCCAGGATGCTGCCGTGGAGCTGGAGTCCTTCAGCCCGGCTCCATGGGTGACCCTGGGTGCTCTCCTCTCCGTCGCGAGCCCTGAGCACACCGTGGTGCTCCGTAGCCTTTCGTGGAGGATGCTCATTTTATTTTATGAGAGTTGGATCCCCCGGAGCCAGCAGCAGAGCCAAACCTGTGATCAGCAGAACAAGCAGAGCCCTCCATAGGCAGCGAGCTTGTCCTCGTAGCATTTGCAAGTGGGCTGTAGTAGCTCAGGGCCCCCCCTGCCCCAGGAGCTGCCTTGGGAGCAGCCTTTCCGCTAGCACTAAGCCAGGACTAAGCTCCTCGCTGTTCCCTCTGCTTGGCAGAGCTCTCCCTGAACACAGAAATGGGAGCTGGGTGACTGCCCAAGAGGTTCCACTTGGATTCCATAGCTCCATGACCCACGGGGAAGGGTAAAACACGAGAATTTCTATTGCCATCTCCCCTGCGAATCCTTATTACCAATTCACATGAGGAACTTAGTTCAAACACCTGCCCTTGGGTGACACAGCAGCCTCAGAGCTGCCTGTTAGTGCTGGTTTCAGCAGCAGGTTTAGCCCCGTGATCTGTTTGCGGGGCTGCCCCCGGCTCAGGCAGAGGACCCTTCCCGGCACCGGGCTCATCCCGAAGGCGCCGCTGCGGCCCGGGGCCCTTCCGAAGGGGAGGCTTCCTGCAGGAACGTGGCAGACGTGGCTGCTTGGGCTGCATTTTAATTATTTATTTACTTCTCAGCATCACACACGTGGTCCTTGGCCAGTGGCGATGCCGTGGTTGGAAGCAGCCAGACCTGGCTAGAGCTGGCGCAGGGGCTCGTCCCACCTGCCTGGTTTTAAGGGACTCTGTGTCCAATTACACTATCAGATAACACCGTCATATAAAATACCTCTGTGCACCGTGAACTGGTGACACTTTCTGAGATTTTTTCTTCTTTATTTCTTTTTTTCCCTTTTAGAAGGAGGTGATCAAAACAAGAGGCATCTCCAGGTCTGCTCCCTGGTGCTGTGCGGATTGCCGCGAACCCCCCGCGAGGCCGGTGCTGGCTTTCTTTGCAATGTCTCATTTGGGGGCTTTTTGTTTTAATCATGGGGCTTTTTATCATCTGCAGAGCTCAACAGCAGCACTAATACCTGCCTATCTGTTTTGCATGCTGCAAAGGAAAGGGAAGAACAAGTTCCAGTATGGCACTGGAGTGCAAAGATGCTCTTTTATTATAGATTCAGCTGAGAGAGCCCAGGCCGGGCTTTGTTTTTTAATTTATTTTTTATGTTAATAAGGAGGCTAATTTAAAGCGTGAAGCTCCATAGTTGGCAGCAGAGTCTTTGGAGTGAATGACCAGAGCTCATCAGAAAGTTGCTCTAAAGCTCAAGAAGGCTGCGGGTCAAGG